CATCTCCCTTTCTGTTCTTTGGTTTCCTCCTCTTATAGGCATCCATATTTTATTGCTGCAACTGATGTTTAACTTGCTACCTCAGATCCACTGTGCAGTTCAGAAAAATACATATTTTTAAGATTTATTTATTTTTATTGCAAAGTCAGATATATGTAGAGAACAGGAAAGACAGACAGGAAGTTCTTCCCAACTGATGATTCACTCCCCAAGTGATTGCAATGGCTGGAGCTGTGCCTCTCTGGAGCCAGAAGCTCTTCTGGGTCTCCCACATGGGTACAGGGTCCCAAGGCTTTGGCCTGTCCTCGACTGTTTTTCCCAGGCCACAAACAGGAAGCTAGATGGGAAGCGGGGCTGCAGGGATTAGAACTGGTCCCCATATGGGCAAGGACTTTAGCTGCTAGGCCACTGTGCCGGGCCCAAGAGGATTTTTAATCCCAGATAATATTTCCTATGCCACTCCACTGGGGGACAATAAACCTTCAGTGATTATAAGTAACTTCTTGTTTAGTTGTTAGAAAATATTATGTGTTGGGATACACGTTTTGTGTGCCATGCTGAGTGAAACTGCGCTGGTCCTTCTTCTTCGAGACTTGGAATTTTGTCCATTGTGAGACTTGTCATTTCTATCCTGTAGCGGTCATCACTCCTTTATGATAGTTTTAATTTTTACTTAAAATCTGTGGATTTTTAAGTGTTGGCACAGTTTTAGAAAGCGTATGAAAGTACAAACCATGCAAAACCAAAAAACAAAAACATTAACATTTGTGGTCAGATTGGGCCCATGAGATATGAAATTGTGTTCTCCATGTACAGTTTTATTGTTGCTCACACGTCCATTTAGTGTTATGCTTTTCTATCTGTAGATCAAGAACTTTTTAAAAAGGGAGTGTGATATATGATTTATATTTTATAGTCACCAGCCACACGAGATAGATATGTAACAGAACTGATGAGTTCAGTCCATCTCAAGATCTTATTCCTGTGGAAAGGCCTGCGGGCTGACACATGCCTTAAAAAAATCACCCGTGGCGTGGGTGTTTGCACAGCAGTTAGGGCACTTTATCCCTACGAAGGCCTCATTTAATCCCTGGATGCTCTGCCTCCCAGCCAGCTTTCTGTGAAGGCACACCATGGTAGGCAGCAGGTGTTGGCTCAAATTCTTGGGTTATCCCTGTTACCCAGGTGGGAGACACGGATGGTGTTCTGGGCTCTCAGCTTGGACTTAGATCTCTCTCTCTCTCTCTCTCTCTCTCTATATATATATATATATATAGTTTTTTCCCCCTCCCTGTCTCTCCAGCTCTCCCATTTCAAATCATGCAGAATAGATGAAGCAGGATAGCCAGACTAATTGCTTACTATGTATTCCGAGAAGATCAATAGCGTAAGAATATAATTTCTGATATTTGTTTTTTTAATTTTTGGAAGAGTTTTCCTTGAGGATGTTTCTAAAGAATGATAGACTTAAAATATAAACCAACTGTTCTGAGGCCATTTTTTTCCTCCTGTTTCTAAGACTGTCTAGTGCTTTGGGGATTGCAACATATGGTGTAGAGCAGACATAACCCATTAATACAGGATTCATAACACTGTATTGTTACAAATCTCTGTGGCCTTTGAGCATATTGGTTGCTATTATCAGCTTAATCTAAACACTGTCACCTTTTTCTCAAGATGAACTGAAGTTGAAAAATGGATTAAAATGGTGTTGTTTTATATATCTAAACTATTTTGATGCATAGAATCAAAGGAGTGGCCATTGAATACTCCTTGACGAACAATTCACCTTTAGGGACTCAGTTCCTTTATATTTTGAAAATTTAGGCTTGGCTGGGTTACATAGACTACCAGAGCTAATTGTAGGAGAGAAAATAGGAGTTATAAAATGGAAGAAATAGTGCTGGTGTTGTGGCATGAGTTAAGCCACCACTTGGGACGCATAATGCAGCATCCCATAATGCAGAACCAGTTTGGGTCTTGGCTGCTCTGCCTCTGATCTGGCTCCCTGCTAATATGCCTGGGCATGCAGCAGATGATGGCCCAAGTACCCAGGTCCCTGCCATCCATGTGGGATACCCAGATGGAGTTCCTTTTCCCTGGCTTTGGCCTGATCCAGCCCTGAATGTTTTGGGCATTGGAGAAATGAATCAGCAGAAGGAAGATAATAAATCTTCAAAAAATGTGAGGAGTGCAGCAAGGCAGAAGATTGCAGTAAGGCAGAAACAAAACTTGGGCCCGGTGGCGTGGCCTAGTGGCTAAAGTCCTTGCCTTGAACGCACTGGGATCCCATATGGGCGCGGGTTCTGGTCCTGGCAGCTCCACTTCCCATCCAGCTCCCTGCTTGTGGCCTGGGAAAGCAGTCGAGGACGGCCCAAAGCTTTGGGACCCTGCCATCCATGTGGGATACCTGGAAGAAGTTCCTGGATCTTGGCTTCGGATCGGCCGTTGCTCTCACTTAGGGAGTGAATCATTGGATGGAAGATCTTCCTCTCTGTATCTCCTCCTCTCTGTATATCTGACTTTGCAATAAATAAATAAATCTTAAAAAGAAAAAAAAGAAACAAAACTCAGGGATTTGGATGAGAAAGCCTGGTTCAAATCCTTGTTTTGCCACTTACCTGCTGTGTGATTGCGGAGAAGATTCTAGATTTCTCTACGGCATTACAGCACCTCATACTGTTGTTGTAATGAAATGATGAAACAAAAATTGTAACAAAAGTTACGAGACAGTTGCTCAATAAATGTTAACCTTATCACCCCCAAGGAGAGAGTATTCTAATTTACTTAAAATATTTGCAGTTGATATTTCCAGTGCTGAGGTATGAAATGAGCTCTCAGTTCAAGGTCATTTTCATAAAGTCATGGGTAGATGTATTTAGCAGGTTATCTAATAAGCTTGTTGATTTCAGCCACTCCCAGAGCTCTAATATTTTTTCCTTTGTTAAATCTGAATATGTAATCCAATATGTCTCAATCCCTTGGTCATAATTTGAAAATTTCCATTTTTAGTGTGCATGTTACAATGTATGTCTCTGAGAGGACTTCTTGGTTAATATGACATATGCTCACTTTACTCATGTAAAGTTTCCTCCACAAAGTCAAATAGGCTGGGCTAGAATTTCTTGAAAACTTCTCTAGTTTTCAAGTTCATTGTTCCTACTATAAATGAGGTTGTGAGGAGAAACTTAACACTGTCTTCATGGGTTCCTTTATGAGCTAGCATCACACAAATGTCCAGCTAATTTTTGAGAGGATATGGTTAAACACTAATAAAGGATCATGAAAAACAAGTAGTCCTTATGTCTCCTTTGCATAGTAATCTTGTGGAAAGGGTAGGGAAAGGAATAGGAATTAGTGAATGAGCATACTTCATGTTAGGTATTTTGTTTAGCCCATCTGTTCGAATCTTTAAGACAATCCTGGGGTGGATCCTTTCTTTCATTAGGAGGAAACCCACGGGGAAGCTAAGGAGCTCATGCAACCAAAGGGAAGTGACTTTGACAGCCCAGTTGGAAATGGATCTAAATCAGATGTGTCTGGGTCTTTGAAGTGTATTATCCTGCAATGGGTTTGAGACTTACAGCATTACAGGGTTGGGGTATTTACTGATTTTTAGTATATTTTTTGAGGCTGAACAGAAATAACGGGGAAAGATATATTCTTTATGGTTACTAAATAATTTATTATATAAAAATACGACGGGGTGCCTTGGAAAATGGGTGCTTTGCTGATGATTGAATCTAACGACTTTTTTTTTTAGCCTTCCTTCCTTTCTTAAGCCAACTTCAGTTGACAAATCCTTCAAAGTATAATAACAATAAATCTTGAAATGGGTCACCCTTGTCCTGAGAGAAATAATTTCTCTTGGCTAGGTAAGTGTAACACACTTCAGTGTTATGGTATTTTGAGAACTTAAGCCTCTCACGTACAGAGTGATTTTCTGCAAGAAAGAGGATTGGCATGAAGTGGCCAGAATGGCATGAAGAGACCAGTCCTGGTCTGCTGTTTACAGCATTGCTTGAACCCTAAGAACTGCCAACTGTATTTGTGACCTCAGAAATCTGGTAACATTTGGGGTGTGGCCATTGCCATCTGAACTGGTATCTGCGATGCACTGTTCCTACCATGATCATATTAAGCCACCAACATGAGACAAGTGAGTTGAACATACACAAACACGTTGGATTTTGTGATCTGATTCAAAACCAATAGACTACAGTGCATCTGTGAGTGCAGGTTTGTTACAGGGTGAGGGGTTTTTGCTGAATGGATCATTAGGGGAATAGATTTGTGGACTGAGAGAGATCTCAGCTCCTCTACCAGAGGAGCTCTTATACCTGATTTTTGAAGCAAACCTCAGCCAATGTAGCCAACATTCGCTGCTGTGGAGATTATCAGAAATATCTGAATCTTGGATGAACGGCCCTGCTTTAACATCCTGGGCAGAGGTCACAAAGGCCTTTCCCACCTCCACCCTGTTGGAAGACTGATTCCACTCTGTCTTGTCCCCCGCTATTGTGGTGAGATAATTGTTGGAAGTGAGAATGTTTTCTAGAAAGATCCTTTCCCTGTTTGGGAGTCCCCTTACTGAACGTCTTGGGGAAGGAACCCAATTTTGAAGAGCCACTGCTACTGAGGCTGAGAGTTGAGCTGCATACTCAGTTCAGGCTTGGGTTTCTTAATAGAACTGAGGCTAATTTCTGTTCCAAATGAGCGGGAGGGACTGGACAGGACTCCCACCTAGCAAATATGCTCAGGGATTTTTAGATGCATCAAGAGGAGTGACTCTGAGAAGAGGAAATATGGCCTTCTGCTGCCCAGAGAGAGGCGATTAAAAGATGTTCAGTGACGAGAAATGTTTGTCTCGGTGACTATGATCGTTAATCTGCCAGAAGGCAGCTGGACACCACAAGCAAATGAAAACGGTTCACCTAACACGCAATGCTAATTCTTTACCTATGTATAATCCGACTAGAAATAAAGGCACAGGTATATAGTTTTACTGTTCTTGAACTTTAATTCTTCTTGACTCTTATGGTCTCTACATTCAAAGAAAAGGGGGTCTAAAAAAAAGCCAATTCCTTCTCTTTCCCCACCAGTCATTCAACATGCTCTTCCTCAACTTGGGATGTTACCCTGACTCAATGAAGGAAGCCTTTACAATGGGTTGAAGGCTAAAGTGGCGTTAGAAAACGTGGCTTCACAAAGAGAAGTACTTCCAGGTCTGCCAGAGAGGAACGTTGGGTACTCGGGAAGATCTTGACAGAGAAGGCTACAGCGATTGGATGGTGCTTTTTGGAAAAAAGGCTCACACGACAATGACCAACTTCTTGTGGAACTCCAGGCCTCTGACAACAGCGCTGAACTCCTCAAAGGATATTTTGCCATCGCCATCCTTATCCAGGGTGATGATGGTTTTGTCCACCAGCTGCTGCAGGTGCCAGTCCCTAAGGTTGTTACCCACCATCATCTTCAGCACCTGGAAGAGCTCTCCGTTGGAAATGTAGCCGTCTTTATCCATGTCGTAGATGCTGAAAGCAAACCTCAGCTTCTGCTCCTCGTCTCCTTTGACGCTGAACTGCGAAGTCCCCAAGATGAATTCCTTGAAGTCCACTTCGCCATTGCCATCTGTGTCGAAAATATCGATCACTCGCTTCGCCAACGGGTTCTGCTCCAGCTGGGGCAGGGACAAGAACTCCTCCACGCTCAGAGTGCCCGACTGGTCCAGGTCCAGTTTTCGAAACCTTTTGCCCAGTCTTTTGATTTCATCATGGTCAAAGTGGGAGCACATCTCTGCTGGGTAACTGGACTCATTTCCCATTGTGGATATGGGCAACAAGGGCTTGCAGCGCCTGAGGACCCAGCCAGCGGCCCGCTGTGCTGAGACGGTTGAGCCACCCGGAAGCATGGGAGGAAGTGAGGGTGGGAGCTCGCGAGACACCACGTGGGCGTGGCGCTCGAGGTCCTGGAGACACCAAGTGGAGCTCCCAGCACAGAATGGGAGGGCCAGGGTCAGCGAGGAAGCGGAATAGGAAGAGAAGGAAGCAGAGCAAACCCCTCATAGGTTTCTGTTCTAAGCCGCATTGCACTCCCCATCTGCTTTTGCTCCTCATTTTCTTTCCCACCCCTTGTTTTTGCCCTTGAGAAAGTAAATGCCAAGCGGATCAGAGGCTACTTCTAATCCATTGTAGTATTATAGCACAGTGCCTGACGTCCAGTGTTGCTTGATAAACACACGTAGAGAAACGTTGTGAACTGCCACTCAGGTTTTCTGATGCTTACCTGGCAGGCCTACCTCAAGCATGAAACGGTTCACTCACTGAAGAACTGGTGTTATTTATCTGTTTGTCCTCTGGGAGGGGAAGCCAGGATGGATATCCTCTTAGACATTTTACGGCACGATCCAGATGTCACCCAGCGTATCTTACATGGATGGCCCGCAGGCACTGTTGGTACATCCCACTCACATAATGCTGAATCCAGGGCCTTTTGCAAGAGGACACAGACCCCAGCAACACCTCTTTTACCCTCTCGCTTGGAATCCATCATGTCATGATCTTGCGTATCTTTGCTGCTTGGTGCCCACAGGGAACTCTGGGGAACACAAGAACCCTTTCTGTGGTTGAGTGACGGACGCCCCGTTCTCACTCATCTCAATAGGTGTGTCCTTCTCCCCCTGATGATTGAACTTAAACACTGCTTCCCATTTCTTGTTCCACTAGGAGCACATCAGTTACTCCAAAGGCAGAAAGAATAAATATAGTACACTATCAAAAGGGACTTGGAGGAACCCCAGGATATTAAGTAAAATGGAGTGGGACAAAGACACCCTAACTTTAAAGAAGAATGGTATTGACCATGCTCTGTGTTCTTTAGCTCATCCAGAAGCTAAGGCCGTCATGCTGAAGCTTCCATAGTGGAACCACTGAAAACCTTATCATTTGGAACGGCGTTAGAGAGTTAAAGTCACAACACATGAAATAAAAGGAGAGATGTTATCAGAAAGCTCAGGCCAAAGAGCTCTGGGGACTCAGAATGAAGCAAGTGCTTCTTGTTGGGAATAACTGGAGGAAGACTTTTCATGATTATTTATCTAAGCAGTTTTTCATGCTGATGGAGACAAGGTAGACAAGTATGATAGTCCCAGAGGCATGAGAGGGTAGGTGTGAGCACCTGCAAGTCGAAATATTTGAACAAAGTATCAGAAGGTGAGCCAGAGTGAACCAGGCCAAGGGGAGTCGTGAGTGGTTAGCTAGCACATTTGGGTTCTTTTGTGGGTAAAGCACAGATTCTAATAGAGCAATGACTGACTCAGATTTGTATTTTGAAAAGATTAGTTTGACAATGGGGAGGGTGAGTGAAGCAAGAAACAATTACAGTCCCACAGATGTATCTGCAGAAGGATGCTCTGAGCTGGAATGAAAGAGATACTGGAGGAAAAGGCTTCAGCTAGGCGTTTGCCAGGGCTAGCATCGCAGAGCCCATCAACAGGGTGGCCTGAGCAACAGAAATGTTACTGTCTCCCATTTCCAGAGACTAGAGCTCTGAATTCAAGCCCTAGCATGGTCCTGCCCCTTCTGAAAACTGTGAGAAATCTTCCTTTGTGTCCTTCTCATTCCTTGTGGTTTGCTGGTAATCTTTGGCATTCCTGGGCTTGTCACTGCATAAATCCAATCTTGGCTTTTATCATCACGTCCCACGTGGCATTTCCCTGTGTTATTTCTGTGTCTTCTCTTCGCGTGGTAGCTATCTTCTGAAAAGGATGCCAATCGTATTTTATTCAGGCTCCCCCTGCTACAGTATGATGTATTTCAACTAATCGCATGCAGAGATCCTGCTTTTAAACCCGAGTACATTCTAAGGTGGTAGGTGTTAGGACCTAAGGATTCGACCGTGCAAGAAGCCTGGTCTTCCTGGCCAGATGAATGGATGGGCGGGGGTGGAAGGTGAGTCTCCAAGTGTGAATAGATTGGTGTTCTTGACTGACCACCCTGTGCTTATCTGTGTCACGAGGTTTACTGAGTGACGGAAAGGACACCCGCTGTGAGAGCTTCCAGGCTCCTTCAAGATGCTGCCTTCCCATGCAGCACATGCTGAGATTCTATGAACACAAAGATGCATGGACGTGAAGACTGTGTTCTCATAAGTCTTGGAGTAAAGTCAGGGCTACTTCTCACACCCTTACACTTGGTTATGTGTTGGAACAGAAAATGTGGGGTTTATGCTGTCTTGCTTCACTTCACAATAGAACCGCTAGATGGCAGTCTTCACACATTTCCATGCTTTTGACAAGCTGGGATTTTCAGAGCCACCCCATTCCACCTGGTCCCCCACCGATTTCAGTGCGTGGGAGACTAAATAAATAAATAAATAAATAATAAATAAATAAATAAAAGCGAGACTGCCTCTTGCAATTGTTCTGGTCAGTTTGAACACCGTTCTTACTTTTTAGGAGCAGAGTGAAAATACCATTTGATAAATATTTATGAGTTTGTTGAATCTAACCAGGGGAAAAGGAAGAGCTGCTAACACTATGTAGGCTTGGGTGTAAGCTATGCCCAGGCATCTTTAGTATGTGAAACAGGAGACTTTAATTCCATGCGACCAGCTTTCTTGCTTATTGATACTGGCAAAGGGAATACTTCCCGAAATCAGCCAGCATTCCTGGTATCAGAATTCAGATGTCCATTATCTACAGGGACCAGCGGGAAAACAGGAGCAGAGCTAACTTTGTGAAGTGAGGGTAAAACAAGACCTGCTGATCCCCACATACCCACACAGCAGCAAGACTGAAACGCCACTGACCACACTGAACGACGGCAATGACTGCTGTTTCTATGAAGACCTGTTCTAAGTGCAGCCTGGTGGCTTGCATAAACCATCTTCGTATTTTCCCTCTCAAACCTAGATGCTGGTTTGGAAGAAAATCAAAACACAATAAATAAATGCTAGTTAACTCAACATTTTCAAGGTACAGAATGTTTAAAATCAGGGATTTCTCATGCCCTCCAATCAAAAAGTCTTCAGTCCTGTGACATCAGCAATAAGCAAAAAGCATATTTATTCTGAAATTATAAGATATAGTGATAAGATTTGCATGTATTTTTTAGAGATGGGTCCAAGAGGAAGATACGCCAACTGTAATTCAAAACATATACTTATTATGCACAACATACTTTTTCATGCATAGTTCCACAATCAGGAAAAGGGTGGGAGACATTTACTAATCCAGGCTTGATCTCTATAAATTATTTCATTAAAAGTATTCCACACTTTCAAGCATCCTCTGCTGTTACCCCAGTTCTTGGGGGAAGAGCTGAAGTTTAGAAGGTACAAGGCTTGCGCTGACATGCAGCAAAGCAGCTGGGAGTCAAATCTTGGGATGTTCATTTCCAGAACTATAGTTCTTTGCTTTTTCAGATTACCTTCTATGTAGAAACAGGAAAAGGTTCCTTTCCTTTCTTGGTAGAACACAGGGAAAGTCAAAGGCATGTGGCTTACTTGGGGGCCTAGCTGCGGCTGCACAACAAGTGAACCCAGGAAGATGATCACATGCTCCCTTAGAATCCCTGAGGGAGCGGGTACCACTAATCAGACTCCGTGGAGTCCTGTCCATTTGTTGCATTATTGGCTGCAATGCCTTGGGAGGGCAGGTGGAACTGCCATGCTTGTCATTTCGTGTTTTAGTGGCTTACTCGTGCCTTTTTCTGGAGAGCCCTTCCTCCTCCGGGAAGCCTGCTCTGATTCCTTCTTATTCTTCTACGACTGACTCCTGGCCTTGCTGTGTCGGAATTTATTTACAAGTTTGTCTCTCCCTGATGGGAAGCTCAGCGTTCATCAGCTGCACCTGTGACATGACCTGGTCCCTGGACATTCAATTCCTACACTTGATCTTAGCCAAAAGGCCGAGAAACAATGGACATTCGATTCCTATTTGGTTATGATGGAGGATAAATGAATGGGTTTGTCCTGGTAGTCAAAAAGGAACTTGAAGCCTCCCTGAGACTGACTTTTTTCTCTTCTTGCCCCACTCTACTGCACATCATAAAAGGGTCCACAAATAGGTTTGCGTTTTTTTAGATTTCCAGAAAGTGATACCTGGATAGGTTCCACCTGACCTTACGCTTGGCTTATATATTAAACTTAATTACTTAGGCTATTCCAAGGGAAGCACTCAGCTGTCAAGGTGGCTCCCGATATACATGAGTTTTCAATTTAAAGCAATCTACAGTCATTAACTCTCCTTGCCTTGCCATAACTTTCATCAGGTTGCATAGCAGAGCGACATTTTAAATTGAAAAAGGGATGGGATGGAGATGGGAGAGGGGTGTTGACATGTGACCTAGTTGTCAAGAGCAGAAATGACTTCATTAAAATTCATCCTCTCCCCCTTGCTGCCTTAACCATTCTCTTTGGATTTTTAATGCAAATTAAAGATTAACCAGACAGAAAATGAATGGGAGGTGGAAGCTTCCTGATGGGACCTGTGTGATCCTTGGCCTTCAATGCGCAGTCCAGTAACTCCTCCGCTTCTTTCCCTGGTCAGTTATCAGAGGGAGGAAATACCTGCTATGAGAGAACTCCAGTTTTCTCTGTAAACAAATATTAATGTATCAGGTACATGTATGGATGGCCCTAGGGGACTAAGTCTAGGAGAGTAATCAGGGCTGAAGAAGCTGGAGGAGAGGCCAAGCAGTTTATGAACCTCTGTGACCCAGGAGCCACATCTTCTGCTTAGAGGGTCAGGACTCCTCTAAATGAGCCTACTTGAGAACCACAGCATCCATACCTTTAAGCTTCTCAAGAGTGCCCTGTAGGGGTCTAGCACAGTAGCCAAGTGACTTAAGTCTTTGCGTTGAACAGGCTAGGGTCTCATATGGGTGCCTGTTCATGTCCTGGTGGCCC